CCTCTTCCTCTCCTGCTTCCTCCATTTCTACATCATTGTGCTGATTACCTGTCTCCTCCAACTCTTCCTCACGCTGAACCACAACCTTACCCTCTTCTTGTTCCGCCTTCTGTTCTTCATTACGCACCACTTGATGCTCTTTTTCCTTCATTGATTGTCTTCTAGGCCTAGCTTCCATTTTATTTATTTGTTCTGCAAATTCAATGCGTCTACCTTCAAATAAAGCATTCATTTTTCTTTGTGACTCTTCTGCTAGTTTTTGGGTAGCAGGACACATTCTTCCAGGAATATAGAACAAATGGGGCTTTGTTTTAGTTCTTATATATTTAATTATCTTAGCATTATGCTCATTCCATTCTTCTTGCAGCTGTGCAAGCTCAACTTTCTGTTCCAAAAGCCGCAGTTCTGTCTGTTTAGCACGTCTTTCCTCAAATAATTCTCTCCTCTCATTTTCAACCTGCTTTCTCTCCTCTTCTGCCTGCACTTCAAGTTTTTGTTCAATTTCCTGGCGTCTCTTTTGCCTTTCAGTTGCAACAGTGGATTCTTGCTTAAATTTCTGAAGAGTGCTCATCAACAAGCCAAATATTCGTCTTTCCCTTTTCATCCATGTTCTGATCCTGGATAAGGTCTCTACGCGTACGCTCTTTGGAGGTAGCTACAACTGAAGATTGCAATGCTGGCTTTTTAACATCATCATCTTCTGGGTCACTTTCCTGGCGTGATTCTCTCCTTGTCCGACGCTCTCCACCCAGCCTACTGATTGCCCCTTCAAGGTCTCTCTGTTTGGCTGGGGGTCCTCCTCCACTATCTGAGAATCCACGCCTCAGCAATAAATTACCCCGTCCTCTACCTCCACCAGGACCAGAAAGGGCCAGCAACCTGGCTTGGATGGGCCTCACATCATTGGGATCCCGCCCGGTGAGCTTGCGAATATTCTCATCCACGTTCTTTAGACTCTCTTTGGCCTTTTCTAGCTGCTCCTGCAAAGTTCTCACTGCGACCGCCATCTTCTCCCTCAAGTTTAATATTCTGGCAAGGGTACGTATATGTCTTTGGAACGTGCCTGCAGGGGTAATTGCATTATTTCTTATCTGAGATGTTGACTGGTAGATCAAACATTCCCAGACCTCAACACAAAACAAAGACATCTTCTGGGGTATCCTATGATATCTATTGGAAAACAAGAAAGTATCACATTCCTAGAAATCTGAGGTTTTGGTCACTCCTTATTCGTTGGCACACTGCTTGCTGGAGTTGTTTACTGTAGAACAGATGGTCATGCCAAGATAGGTGGTCCTGCTGTTTTTACAAGGCGTTGCTGATCCTGCTTTGCAGGTTAGCCAGCTCCTGACAGAAAGGAATTGGCAGATACAGAAGAATTTAATGAAATAACATTTGAGCAAGAGCCTATGGTGATGAAGGCAGAAGTTCAAGCTGTTTTGAAGGAAATAGCAAAAAATAAGGGCCCCAGAATAGATGGTATACCAATTGACATATTTCAGCTAACAGATGCTGCCCTGGATGTGCTCACCAAGCTGTGCCAAGAAATCTGGAGAACAACCACTTGGCCAACCTGATGGTACATAGCAATAATAACATCAGAGAAATAGCATTAGACAGTTTCCTTACAAGACCTCCGTTTTCCTGAACTAAATGCTGTCCAGAAGTCCTAGTGACATAGATAGAGGTTAAAGAATTGACTACAAACTGAAAAGTCAGTGGTGAGATCCGCCAGACATTCCATAGAAGGATGAAGCAGTCTGTTTCCATAAAAATTTACAACTTTAGAAACCCTTTCACTCACTGACTCACTCACTCACTCACTCACTGCTATCCAGTCATAATTGACTCATAGCTGACCCTCCAGTGTGTTTTCTGAGGCTATAAGTTACTTGAGAGGAGACTGTCCATCTTTCTTCCTAAATGCTAATGTTGGTGAGTTCAAATCACCAGAGTTTAAATTGTTAATTCACCTCTGAGTTAGTAGTGCAATAAGGTCACTGTGATTCACAATTGACCCAATGCTGGTATTTGCTGTTGTTGTTGTTCAGGTGACATATAGAGTTTCTGACCACTTTTCTATTTACTCTTGAATTTAGATCCAACTCTTAACCTCCTTTCCACTGGCCAACTTAGCGTGAGTTTTTTTAGCATCTTTGACCTTGCTTTTCAGACTAGAATTAAACTGATAGTTGAGGCAACCATGCAGAAATTTGGAACTTTCTCTGATCCCAAAAGGCTTATCCCAGGAATCCATTGGCAGCTCCCACCATTCCTAAGAGAACATTTCCCGGGCATCCACACAGATACACCCCTTGTCAGGAAGCCAGCTATGAAAACCAACCTGCAAGCCAATTTGGAGAAGTTGGAGACTGATTGTGGTTTGTTCTGTGAATGACTGCTCTTGGGAATACCTTTGTCGCAACTGTTCTTGAATGATATTAGCATGCAACTTAGAAGGAACAAAAAATAAAGCAGTGCTCAAGAACTCTGTGAGGTATCATTTGGTGGTGTAACATTTTTCTCTTCCTTATGTGGAGCTCATTGTGCCAGGAGCCACAGGAAGCAGAACAATGATAGTAATAATGATATTATTATAGCAACACTGCTATTGTTATGTATGTAACACAGCATGCCAGATACTGGTGTAAGGACCTAAGCATCAACATACCTGAGGCAGGTAGTAATTTCCCTGATGAGCAATTTGATACAGTATCTTGCTCGAGATCCAACAGGAAGAGGCAGTGCTGAAATTTAAGTTAGTAAGTGCCCAACTGCAAAGCCGATATTCTTAATCAATGAAAGCTTATTTAATTTTTTTCTTCCTCCTTTTTGTTGAGAGGCACAGGCTCCCATCCACTTTCTATATAGCCGTTGTTGTTGTTATGTGCCATTGAGTCTTTTGTGACTCATAGTGACCCTATGTACAAGAGCCATAAATGCCATTCTATCCTGTGCCAACCTCGCTGTCTCAAACACACTCATTTCCACCACTCCACTCACAGAATCGATCCATCTCATCGAGGGTCTTCCTCTCCTGTGCCGTCCCTCTACTCGCCCAAACATGATGTCCTTCTCCAAGGACCAGTCCCTCCTTTCAACATGCCAAAATATGTCAGACGAAGCTTCAGAATCCTTGACTCCAAGGAACATTCTGGCTTCATCCTCTCCAGAACAGACCTTTTGTTCTCCTAGCAGTCCATGGTATATCCAACACTCTTCTCCAGCACCACAGCTCAAAGGCATCAACTCTCTTTCTATCATTCCTATTCATTGTCCAACTCTCTGATGCATAGCACATAATTGCAAAGACTATAGCCTGGATCAGGCTCGCCTTAGCCTCCAGCCTGATGTCATTGCTCTCCAATACTCTTGAGAGGCCCCTCCCATCTGAATTTCCCAGTGCAGTTTGTCTCCTGATTTCCTGGCTGCTGTTACCAAGAGTGTTGACTGTGAAACCAAGTAAACTAAAACTGTTAACAATCTCAATTTCTTCATCATCCATACTGATGCTGCCAATTGGCCCAGTGGCGAGAATCCTTGTTTTCTTGATGTTGAACTTCAATCCACATTGAAGACTGCAGTCCTTGACCTTCTGCAGGTCCTCCTCAGTTCCTGAAAAGAGGGTTAGCCCCTGTAGGCATCTTTATTTTACTTCCAGATCCCAAGATTTTGATCTGTAGCATAAATCAGTGCCCTCTGGCTTGGCTACTCTTTCCACATACTGAGTATCCATGCCAGGGGTCTGAGGCACCTAGGGCCACTTAGGAGATGCTTAGACCATCAGCACCATAATAGGGCAATTCTGTGTTATTTTGTTCATTATCCCTCATCATCCCTTTTGTTGCTTTGACTTTAACTAATTTAGGTGCCATTGAGTCAAGCATGATACATAGTAATGTTATGAACAACAGATCTGAATCCTGTCCCTTTCCATGGCATCTTCACATGTCCTGACACACTAGAGCCCATTGTGACAGCCACTATGTCAATCTATCTGGTCAAGGGTTTTCCTACTCTTTGCCGACCCTCCACCCTTCCAAGTATCATGTCCCTCTCCAAGGAATAGGCCCCCCCCCTAGCAAAATGCCTGAAGTGTGTGAGGTGAAGCCTCATCATCCTTGCCTCCAAAGAGCACTCTGCACCATCTCCAAGATATATTTGTTAGTTTTGGCAGTCCATGAGATGTTCAGTGCTCTTCTCCAACACCATAGCTCAAAGACATCAGTTCTTCTTCTCCCATCTTATTAATGATCCAGTTGTCAGATGCATGGCAAGTGATCTGAAAGACTATGGTCTGAATCTGAGGTACCTTTTTTTTATTTCTATAATTATATTTTATTAATTTTCATAAA